AACAGTCGCCATTCCAGTCAATTCACCTGCTTACCCTTGGATTTCCTATGAATTATGTCTCACATGCTGTCACTACTTAATGTTTGTTGTTAGGTCATATAGAAAGATTTTCCTGTACTATTGGCAAAATTTTCTCCCTTTACATATTACATAGTCGCTCTATTGATTTATTGTTGTAAGAATTTCTAACTCTAGTTATTGCATTTTCCAACTTATGTGTGTTACTGCATCCCAATCAATGTGTAGGGCTATCATGGTGATACATCAGCAATGTTCTTTTGTGGAGAGGTTGATGATGAGGCTCGGAACCTGGTGAAGGTAGTTTTCTATAATCATGATTTCTTCAGGGTTCTATGTAATTGATGATTCTATCTTCACCAAATTCAATTATGTTCAGGTAGATCCAAAAAATTTGCAAGTTCTAGATTCCAGATATTATTACAGCTTACATTTGATATCTCACTTGCTAGAGGCTAAACATATTTAGCAATATAGGTGCTGTGAGCATGAGAATCGTGATCTTCTTATCATCAAGATCTGCAAAGTCATGTAGTTAATATACCTATGCAACGCAGACATATATTAAAGTTATAGTGGGAAACAATGGAGAAAGGACTTAATTTAATGTAGTTTGGTAATGTGCTTCTGTTTATGATCAGCTGCAAAATTTTCACTTTGGAAGAGTTTAATATACTATATTTCTTGTAAATATTGTAGATTAGGAGAAAATTCAAAATTTTAAGACTGCCTCCATGATACAGATGCAAAATTTTCATTGTTGAATAGCTTAATGTACTATGATAGAGAATTGCATAAGTACCATACTTTATTGTAGGAGTGGCCCCTAATGTGGAATGATTATGATTTTCTCTTGGAAAGAAGGGATGAATCCCCTAACGTGAAATGCACCCCAAACCTAATGTTGCCTCTAATTTTTGGAACTCAACATTGTCTCTGGAATCTGTATGTTTGGCAAACTTAATTAGTTTGGGATTTCACATTAATGTACTAGTTGTTTTTGTGATGCTCTCTAACAATGAGTTCCGTAAATGCATGTTTCCTTCACAACTTTTACCTTTCAGAAATTGTAACACCTTCATGGCATAGTTGTTTATCTCATGGTTAGCAAAAAAGGGGAAAAGAATGTTCAGCATATTGTGCTATCTCTGCAACATTCTGGTCTCCAATATGTCCATCATATTTATCTTTGGATATTTGTTCTAGGTAACAAAAGAATGCTTAATGAAAGCAATATCAATATGTGGACCAGGAGTAGAGTTGAAGAAGATTGGCAAAACTATCCAGTAAGGAATTGTATATGGTACTTGTTCGTGGTTTTGTATCTCTGTCTAGATTATTTGGCTGCAAGGTCATCTGACAACTATATAAAATAACTTTGAGAAATAGAACTACTGTATTCACGTTTAAGACTTTTTCAATGCACACCTGGAATGCTTTTGGCCCAGCTACAATTGGGTTTTAACAATTTAACCTTTCTCCTTAAATTCAGTTTACTACATTTTTATTGCTGCAACCATTTAATTTTCTAGCCAGGAACTTCCGTTTTTCAGAAAAAGATGTGTATGCATGTGCCCACTCATAACTTCAAATATGAAAAATCTTGCAGAGTTCTTTTAGTTTCTGCATAACCCCGTGAGTGTTTCATCTCAATTGATTCTAACTCATAAGGAATATTTTCTTAAGTGATCATGCAGATAAATACCGTTACGGTGTTGTCAGACAATTTGTTGGCCATGGAGTTGGACGTGTTTTCCATGCTGATCCTGTCGTTTTACACTACAGTAACTATCCCTGCTCTCAAGCTTCTCCTATCTTTTTCCTCTGCCACATTTTGATGTCATATGGTTCCGGTGTCGTTTATTTTGTTATGGCCTGGGACTAGATTTGCATATTCTTGGTGGTTTTATTATCCTTAATATTGAATTACCATTTATTGCTATTCATTCTATGCATTGTTGGCCTGTATTAGGATATTATTATCTTAATAATTATTTGCAGTTATTCCTGGATGAAATTTCTTTAACCCCTCTAGGTATGATATATGGCTACCAAAAGTTAGTCAGGATGTCAACGTTCATGAATGTAAAGAAACAAGTGATTAGAATAGTTGGGGGATTTTATGAAACACCATTTTAATCTCTCGTTCACAATTCTGGGAATTAGCATGCTTATATTTTTGGTGAACTGTCTAAAACAGGATTCTCCTTTCTACAGGAAACAATGAAGGAGGACGCATGTTATTGAATCAAACCTTCACGATTGGTAATTTTCCTGTCCTTGAATTGACCTCTTATTTTGATAACTAATAACTAACTGGCCCATGCCAACATACATGAACCTGAAACCTAGTAATGAAAGGACTAGTAGAATATGGACTTGTGGTTCTCCTGTTCCTTTCATGAAAAGAAAAAGGAAAGTTCTTTTTCAAAAAATAAGAAAGGTGCTACCATTTAAATTCCAATGCCCTTCAGTTAAAAAATCTGATGCCTTCTTCCACAGCATAGAGAGCAGGGAAAGAGAATAATTTTGTAATAAGAAAATTTTCTTTTATTAATGGAACTAACACGAAAAGTTCACTCTTGACGTTAAGAAATGATAGGAGTTGAACAAACGGGAAGCACTCACCACTCTTGCTGTGCTTTCTGATGAGTGCAACCTAGAAACTACCTGCACACCCGCTTTAATTCGACAAGAATAAAGAATCAAGGAGATAATTATCTGGTTTAGATACTACTTCCACATTGGGGCTATAATTCTTTCAACGCGACCCTTGCCCTTGTCATACTTTGCACTCTGTGATCTCCATCTTATCATGTCAGATATTTTAATTTATGCCATTTACAACTATGGTAGATTAAATTGCAGAGCCAATGTTGACAATAGGCAGCATTAATCCTGTAATGTGGAATGACAACTGGACAGTTGTCACAGAAGACGGTAGCCTATCTGCACAGTTTGAGCACACAATTCTTATAACCAAGGATGGAGCTGAGATACTAACGCAGTGTTGAAAGGAGTTCTGCACCATAAACCAAATGCTTTCAGGTCTCCTTCCCATTAACTCGCCCAGATCAAAACTTAGTGTATTCTTTTTGTGATGGGGATATGATTTAATTCTTTTGGCAACATCCAGAATCCAGATTCCATTGTATGCTTCTTTTAAGGTTCTGAAGGTTGGCGAAACAAAAAATTATATATATTCAAGAAACCTTGTAGAAGTCTAAATGCTGACTCAATTACAAGGAAAATGCATGTTGTTGTATCAGAAGGAAGTCATAGTGTAGACAGAGACTGTTTATATAGATGCAATTGTATTTGAATTTGATCTTTTCAAATAGTGTTAGGTTTAAACTCATATTCAAGTTCCATCTGAACCTTTTTTTTTTTTTTTTTTTTTAAAAAAAAAAAAAAAAACTCATTTCACATATTAACAAAATGGGTGTATTTGAACTAAATTAAAAATTTAGTTCACTTAATTAAATAAACTTTAAAAAATTATGCTTGTTTGAATAATTAAAAATTATAGAGGGACTTATTTAACATTTTGGCAAACTTATTATTATGAACACCAACTCCAGAGACATCTGCGAGTTCATTTTGGCTAAAGCCAGCTCCTGGTGCTATCTCGCGCCACTGCTAGTTGTTCATCTCTGCATTAAATGTTGTAAGCACTTGAAAGTCGAAATGAGATATAGCCATGAGCATATGGCGATCGCCGAGAACAATAATTTCTCAATGCGACAACATCAACTATCTTCTTCAACAATGCAGCAATTCAAGATCCCTGCAGCCAGCCAAGCAAGTTCACCAGCGAGTCACCGTGTGCGGGTCCAGTCGCGACCCTTTCACGCTTACCAAGCTGCTTCAACTGTATGTGGATTGCGACGATTTGGACTCTGCACAGAACCTGTTCGATAAATTGCCGCAACCAAATGTATTTGCTTGGTCTTCGATTCTCGCATTCTATTCTAGACATGGGTCTTATGAGGAATGCCTACATAGTTACAGAGATATGAAGGTGAAGGGTGTTTCGCCAGATAATTATGTGTTTCCTCAAGTTTTGAGGGCGTGCGCGCAGTCGTCAAGCTTGGAAGAAGGGATTCAAATTCACAAACATGTGATTGTTTATGGCTCTGAACTGAATTTACAGGTTTGTAATTCCCTGATTGATATGTATGCAAAGTGCGGGGATGTTGAGAGTGCAAGGCGGGTTTTTGATGAGATGGTGGAAAAAGATTTGTTGTCATGGAACTCCATGATTTCGGGATATGTGCATAATGGGTTGCTGAGATTGGCTGTGCAGCTTTTCAGTTCTGTGAGAGCAAATGGTTGTGAGCCTGATATTGTCACATTCAATACTGTATTGGATGCTTATTGCCGTATGGGCCTCTGTGAAGAGGCTTGGAAAATCTTTGGACAGATCAAGGACCCTAATATCATCTCATGGACTACTTTGATATCTGGTTATTCAAGAACCGGGAAGCATGAAATTGCATTGAGGAAATTTAGGACTATGGTTAATATGGGAAGGGTTTTCCCAGATTTAGGTTCTCTTTCCAGTGTCCTTGTCTCTTGCAGACATTTGGGTGCTCTTATGAGTGGAAGAGAAATCCATGGTTATGGAACTAAGATGGAAAGAGGAACTAAATTTTATTCTTCAGCTGGTCCCGCTCTGTTAACCATGTATACCAAGTGCCACAGGATTCAAGATGCAAAAACTGTATTTGGACTGATGGACAAATCTGATGTTGTTACTTGGAATTCCATGATTCTTGGATTCTCTGATGTGCAACTGGGGCATATGGCATTAGAATGTTTTAGTCAATTGCAGAAAACAGGAGTTAAGAATGATCAGACCACCATATCCACTATCTTGCCTGTATGTGATATAAAATCTGGGAAACAAATTCATGCCCGCATGATCAGAAACAGTTTCTGCTCTGTTGTTGTGGTTTTGAATGCATTGATTCATATGTACTCAAAGTGTGGATGCGTTGGCTATGCATATTCTGTATTCTGCAACATGTTCATCAGAGACCTTGTCTCATGGAATGCAATGATTGGAGGGTTTGCAATGCATGGACTTGGTCAAGCTGCTCTTCATCTTCTGGAACAGATGAATCAATCAGGCTTTTCACCCAATTCTGTGACATTAACTTCAGCACTTTCTGCTTGTACTCACGGGGGTCTTGTGGATGAAGGGATTGAACTTTTCCACAGAATGACCAAAGAGGTAGGCCTAATCCCTTCCATTGAACATTGTGCTTGTGTTGTCGATATGCTGGCACGGGCTGGTCGTATAGAAGATGCTGTTAGTTTTATCCAGGCAATGCCTCTAGAACCTGATAAATCTATTTGGGGCGCTGTACTGGCTGCTTGTAAAGCACACCAAAATGTTGGGATAGGGAAACTGGCCGCTGAACAGCTAATCCGGTTGGAACCTGAGCAGGCTGGTCATTATGTCACTCTATCGAATATATATGCAAGAGCTGGAAAATGGGAGGATGTTGCAGAGGTCAGAAAGGAACTTGGAGGCAGAGGAATGGGGAAGCAAGCAGGGCAAAGTTGGATTGAAAGTTGAAGCTCAACCACATAAATTATGAATTAATTAATGAGGGTTGGTTATTTTAAGCTAAAGCCTAATAAATTTACTATATCATTACTTTAATTAATTAATAATTTCATATTATGGGTCAATTACGTGACAATTTTGTGAGATATTATGTCCATATAACTTATTGGTTTCCATGTTAACATCTCAATTTCCAAGAAAAATATTTTGATGAAAAATATACTAATTGTTTATAAATTTTTACTTGAAGTGATAATGTGTGTATATATATAAAATAGAATTATATCTAAAAATAAAATTTAATTTTTAATTGATTATAAATTATCTATTTAATTTTTTACTTAATTATAAATTATATAATTTTTTGGTTAAATATTTTTTTTGTTTATTAAAATAGTATTTATATCATTTTTAATATAATTATATAGTTCTAAAATTTGAGTTTTGGACTTGTACCATTTCACGCCGCCTTCTTTTGTTTTAATAAAAAGAATTTTCCATTATCAGAAAAATCTCTGAAACCAAAGACACGCGCTCTTCTGACGAAACAATTGATTTCCTCTCGCTCTCTCTCCTCCAAGAAGCAAAAACTTTTCCGAGAAACAAACATGGACTCCAATCCTGTAAACTGGGAGTCACTCGACACCTTAATTGTCGATTTCGTCAAAGCAGAGAGCTTAGTCGAAGACTCCTGTGCCTCTCCCTCTCCATTATCTTCTCCTTCTTCGTCTTCTTCTCATTCCTCTGCTTCGCTTTCTTCTTCGTCTTATCATTCAAGGTTGATCATTCGTCAGATCAGGCGGGCGTTAGAGGCTGGTGACATTGACGCCGCGATTGATCTCCTCCGTTCTCACGCGCCATTTATCCTCGATGATCATAGGCTCCTCTTTCGTTTGCAGAAACAGGTTAATGTCTTGTCCTCCCTTTGGCTGCCGAAAATCTCTCTTTGAGTTTGATTCATTACTACTTTTGTCATTTTATTTATAAGTTTTTAGCTGCAAATTACATGTTTCTTGTTCCACTCACTTTAATTTTGTGCGGTTTTGTTTATTGTGGAAATTAAAAACTAGAGGGAAAAGAAGAGACATAATATTGGAGTCTGTTTTTGCTTCGTGGGTTGATTAAATTACTGATCGAAATTTTGTTTTTGTCTATTCGCGTGAAGAAATTCATTGAGCTGTTGAGGGGAGGAACTGCGGAGGGTCGTGACTCTGCAATTGATTGCTTGAGGACTTGTCTTGCTCCTTCTGCTCTTGATGCCTATCCTGTGCGTGTTTTATGCAATATATTTACTCGTCCTTTTCTTTTTCCCCCCTTTATCGGTGAAATTTTATTGATGTCCAAGAAGTGTGAAATGTTATTACTGCTGCTTGGCTTTTAGAAATACTGTGGAGAAGTTACTAATATTTCAGAGTATATGAAACCAGGAGATTTACGTACTATCCACTATTTGGGAATGGTTTAAATTATTAGGGATTGCTGAGTGTTGCTCTTCAGAAGCTCTGTATTGCTGAGCTAGCGTTCATTTAGGTAAGGGTGAGAGATAATATGTGAGAGAATTCTTCAGTCAAAGAAGCTATCAGCGATTTTGTTTTTGTCTGTTGAGATATGAAATTCCAATCAATAGAGGAGGGAGAAAAAATCAATTAATGCCTTATCTTCAATCATCTGTAAGGCCACTTGAAGAAAAAAGCCATCTATAAGGCTTCTGATACAGCAAGGTGTCTAGTTGTTTAATTACCAATTAGACAGATGTTTTTTTTATTTCAATCCTAATGCTTTCTTTGGTTGATAAGTCGATAATGACTTTAGAAATCACAAAGAAGTTCTTTAAATCATTTGTTGGTTTTCTAGCTTCATTTTTTTAGGAGAAAAGAAATTTTTGAAATATCAAAGATAAAAAAGTATATTAAAACCGCACTAAAAGAGAGGTGCAACCCATATACAAAATTATTTACATGTTAGTTAGGCAGTCAATAATATACCCAAATCCTCTTCTCTGTATATATCATGCCTAAGATAGATAGATCCAAAAAGGGTGAAACTATCTATCGTGAGTCTTAACCCAATCACACACCACCTCATTAAACGCCCTACTATTTCTTTCCTTCCAAATAACCCAAAAAATGGTTAATGGAATTAATTTCATCAATCTGTTATTTTTACGAAGGCCATTCTGGGCCCATATCTCATTCTCACCGTCCCTGGCATCACCCAACTAACTCCTAACAGTTTATACACCATTGACCATAAATCATAAGTGGCAGGATACCAAAGTAACAAATGATTGCAAGCTTATCAATGGTTAGCATCCTCCCTCTGTAAGCTTTCCAGTCAAAAAATGCAATTTTTGAAGGAGCAGAAGTCTTCCAAATCTGTTAAACAGGGACAAAAATACCAATGCTCTCCGTTTCACCCATCAGCTTTTCATACAGATTTCTAACAGAAAATATCCCAAACTTGCTGAATTTCCACACCAGTTGATCACTCTCACCACTCAGATGCATACCAGACAGAACATGCAGGAGATCCGCAAATTCAGAAATTTCCCAGTCATTCAGGTTTCTTTTCAGCTCAATAGACAGACCATCCCGAACCTCCATCTGCTGTGCCATGGGCCATTTCAACAGTGATTTCTTTCAACACAGCAATAGAATAAATCTGCGGGGACCGCTCCTTCAAAATACCACCCTCTGTCCAATCATCATGCCACAATTGGACACGATTCCCTCTCCCTATGCTTCACTTCAGTCCTTCCAGAACCGACCGGCTCTCCTTGCAAATACTTTTCCATAATCCATGACCATGGCACTGACGACTTTGTACCCAGCAGATTCTGCCATCCCATTTGCCCCAACGAGCTTCAATAGCTTTCTTTCAAGGCCTCTTCACCTCAGTCAAGAATCGCCAAATCCATTTGCCCAAAAGAGCTCTATTCATTTTAATTAGTGAATGGATTCCCAAGCCCCCTCCTGATCTGAGGCCGCTTAACTTCTTTCCCATTGACCAAATGAAACCACCTTCTATTCTCATCATCTTCCCAAATCTTTGACAATTTTTACCGGAATAGTGAGTACCAAAAGATAATAAATAGGAATGTTGGGAAGAGTTCTCTTTATGAGTGTGAGTCTACTCCATTGGGAAATGAACTTTCTTTTCCAACTAGTGAGTCTTTTTTCTACCAACTCCATAGAAGCAGTATCTTTAAATTTAGAACCAAGGGGTACTCCAAGATACTTAATAGGGAGCGATGCTGTTTTACGCCCTAACAAACTAGCTAGCAAGTCAATATTACTGCATCCACCTAAATTCACCAATTTAGATTTATTAAGATTAATATTCAACCCCGATACAGCCTGAAAACATAGCAGAACACCTCTCAAATTCAAGGTCATCTTCTTATCCGATTTGCAGAAAAACAACATGCCATCAACAAAAAACAGGTGTGATACCTTCACCTTCTAGTCACTCCTTCCCACCATAACCCCCTTAAATAAGTCCCTCTCCTTAGCACGTTCAATCATTTTATTAAAAACTTCCATGACCACAATAAATAAGAGTCGTGAAAGGGGGTCTCCCTGCCTTAAACATCTAAAGGCCTTAAAAAAAGAAGATGGACCACCATTAATAACAACTGCAAAAGAGGAAGTCGTGATACATGACCAGATCCATTCTCTCCATTTCAAGCTAAATCCGAGCCTTTCTAGCATGTAATTCACAAAGTCCCAACTGACGTGGTCATAAGCTTTTTCTATATCCAGTTTACATATAATCCTCTCTCTCTTATTGTCCACTAAATCATCCACAACTTCATTAGCGGTCAAAATAGCATCAAGAATCTGTGTACCTCGAACAAACGCATGCTGGCTGCCTCCTATAACCGAATCCAAAACAGAGGCCATTCTTTTTGCCAATACCGTAGACAGTAGCTTATAAATACATCGAATCAAGCTAATATGTCTAAGGTCTCTAATATTCTAAGCCCCTTCTTTTTTAGCAATAAGAACTATAAAGGTGGCGTTTAGAGATTTCACAAACTTACCAATTCCGTAAAATTCCTTGAATAATTCCAGCAGCTCATCTTTAAACTCCAGCCGAAATTTGTGCAAAAATTTCATGTTGAATCCATTGGGACCGGGGGCTTTGTCCCTATTCCACTCAAACAAGCAATTCTTGATTTCCTCAACTGTGAACTCCCTTTCCAGTAGCTCTCGGTCAGCATTATCCAACACAGGAAACAATAAATTATCCAATCTCGATCCGTCCTCAAACTCCTCTCAGTACAACTCACTAAAATACATCCTGTCAGCTTCCCTCATATTCGGATTACCTTTGAAGCAGTTCTCATCAACCTCCAGCTCCTCGGTATAGTTCCTGTGTCTATTGTAACTGGCCGTACAATGGAAAAAGCATGTATTCCTATCCCCCTCCCTCATCCATTTTTCCATCACTTTTTGTCTCCAAGTGTCCATTCTCATTCTCTGGGCTAACTCATTAATGCTCTTACTTTTTTGTAGAGATTTTGTACATGGGTGGTACTCCCGTTTTTGGTACCTTATGAATAATACTTTACACTTTTTATTTTTAAAAAAACAAAATGTTACATGAAATATTTATGAGGCCTCGTAGATCATGTTCATCAAGCTGAGAGTGTCCTTTAAATCAAAC